CAGAAGCAGGAGGGTCTCCTTGACCTTCTTTTGTGCCTTTCTCCCCTAAAGCAGGCCATAAAAACTTAGAATTTCCTTCACTCTTTTTCTCCCCTGAAGCAGACCATAAAAACCTGGAAGGTCACTCTCTGGCCTTTTCCCTCCTTTCCCTTTACGAAGGCCCTCATGTAACAGGTGTCCTGCCTTATACCCGGATGGAACAAATACCACACAGGGATGCCAAGAAGAAACCGAACAAACAAGCCTAGTTCCTCCCAGTTTGTTACCATAACATCATACCTGTTTGTCTTCCAATCATACGTCTGACTATTCATAAAAATACACAGTTTTTCCTGGGTCTTTTCATTTCTGAAAGCTCCCATGTCATGTAAAACTTTTATTAAATAGTTTTGTTATGCTTTTCTTTTGTTAATCTGTCTTTTGTTATAGAGATCTCAGATAAAAACCCTGCAATGGGTGAGGAAATCTGTTTTTCCCTATGTCTTGGTATATTTGTTGTAATTAATGAACCAATATTGATACATTAGTACGAATAAAAATCCATACTTTATTCAGATTTTTTATGTTTTGCCTAATATTCTTTTTCTGTTTCAGAATCCCATCTAGGATACTAGATTGTATTTAGTCATCATGTTTCTTTCTTTCTTTTTCTTTTTCTTTTTTTTTTTTTTTTTGAAATGGAGTCTCACACTGTTGTCCAGGCTGGAATGCAGTGGCATGATCTTGGCTCACTGTAACTTCCGCCTCCCAGGTCCAAGTGATTCTCCTGCCTCAGCCTCCCAAGTATTTGGGATTACAGGTCCCCACCACCACAGTAGGCTATTTTTTGTATTTTTAGTAGAGATGGGATTTCACCGTGTTGGCCAGGCTGGTCTCAAACTCCTGACCTGAGATGATTTGCCCACCTCAGCCTCCCAAAGTGCTGGGATTACAGGCATGTGCCACCGGGCCTGCCCTCAGTCATTATGTTTCTTTGGGCTACTCTTGGCTGTGGCAGTTTATCAGACTTCTTGTTTTTAATGACCATCACAGCTTTGAAAACTTCTCATCAGATATTTTGTAGAATGTTCTTCAACTGGAATTTGTCTAATGTTTTTCTTATTAGACTGGGTTTATGGGTTGGGGGTAGAAAATGTTGGGGTTCAGAAACCAATACCCCAAAATATGGCATTCTTACATGCTGAACGGAAGAAAAAGCCTCAAGATCTCTCTGACCTTCCCCCCAATCCCTAATCCCCCTCAGCCCCTGGCTTTCAATCTTTTTTTTTGTTGTTGTTTTTATTTATTTATATTTTTATTATACTTTAAGTTCTGGGCTACATGTGCAGAACGTGCATGTTTGTTACATACTTATATATGTGCCATGGTGGTTTGCTGCATCCATCACTCTGTCATCTACATTAGGTATTTCTACTAATGCTATCCCTCCCCTAGCCCCCCACCCCCCAACAGGTCCCAGTGTGTGATGTTCCCTCCCTGTGTCCATGTAGTCTCATTGTTCAACTCCCACTTATGAGTGAGAACATGCAGTGTTTGGTTTTCTGGTCCTGTGTTAGTTTGCTGAGAATGATGGTTTCTAACTTCATCCATGTCCCTGCAAAAAGCATGAACTCATCCTTTTTTATGGCTGCATAGTATTCCATGGTGTATATGTGCCACATTTTCTTTATCCAGTCTATCATTGATGGGCATTTGAGTTGGTTCCAAGTCTTTGGTATTGTGAACAGTGCTGCAATAAACATTATGTGTGCATGTGTCTTCTTAGTAGAATGATTTATAATCCTTTGGGTATATACCTAGGAATGGGATTGCTGGGTCAAATGGTATTTCTGGTTCTAGATCCTTGAGGAGTTGCCACACTGTCTTCCACAATGGTAGAACTAATTTACACTTTCACCAACAGTGTAAGAGCATTCCTATTTCTCCACATCCTCTCCAGCATCTGTTGTTTCCTGACTTTTTATGCCATTCTAATGGGTATGAGATGGTATCTCACTGTGGTTTTGATTTGCATTTCTCTGATGACCGGTTCAATCTTTTTTTCTCTCTGTAAGCACAGGATGTTGTTCTCTGAAGTTCCCTTATCTACTTAAACTCTGGACCCACCAAAGAAAAAAACAGTTACTTCTGGTCCCTTTTCTGAGTTTGTATTAACTGAACTCAAATCACAGGAAGAAAGACCGAAGTCTGTCAACGCTGCTGGATGGACAGACTTTTGCCACAAACGACTGTCTTCTCAGCAGATCCAATAGACTTTGTCCCAGGCCATTGTATGTTCTTCAGTCCCATTGAATTCCCCTAGAAATCATTTACTACTCTGCTCTAATCATCGACTCTTCCTCATCTCCCTTTCCCTAAAAAGAAGGGCATATAACCATCTGTAATTCATTGCATAGTTGGGAGACACTCCGTAGTTTTTCTCTGCACATGCTAATAAATTTGTACACCATTTCCCCTGTTAATCTGGTGGGGCACAGTGGTTTACTTCTGTAATCCCAGCACTTTGGGAGCCAGTGGCTGGTGGATTACTTGGGCCCAACAGTTTGAGACCACCTTTGCAAGATAGCGAGAGTCTGTAAAAAAAAAAAAAAAAAAAAAAAAAAAAAAAAAAGATAGTGAGACTTCATCTCTATAAAATATTTTTTTAAAAAATTAGCCAGGTATGGTGGTGCTTGCCTGTGGTCCCAGCTACTCAGGAGGCTGAGATAGGAGCATGGCTTGAGCCTGGTAAGTTGAGGCTGCAGTAAGCCATAATCACACCACTGCACTCTAGCCTAGGTAACAGAGGGAAACCCTGTCTCAAAAAAAGAAAAAATCTGCCTCTTATCAGTTGATTTTTCAGTGAACCTTCAGAGGGTGAAGGGGAAGTTTTCCCTTCACTCCTACAAAGAACACAGAAGTGAAGTACTACAGTATTTTCATCACACATATCAAGGGTACATGCTACTGGCATGACTTCTCACTGTCGATGTTTACCTTGACAACCTACCTAACTAAGGTTCATATTTGACAGCTTTCTTACATTTTATTTTATTTATTTTTTTTGAGATGGAGTCTCACTCTGTCACCAGGCTGGAGAGCAGTGGCGTGATCTCGGCACACTGTAAACTCCACCTACCGGGTTCAAGTGATTCTTCAGCTTCAGCCTCCTGAGTAGCTAGTACTACAGGCACATGCCACCACACCTGGCTAATTTTTCATTTTTAGTGGAGATGGGGTTTCACCATCTTGGCCAGGCTGGTCTCTAACTCCTGACCAGAGGTGATCTACCTGCCTTGGCCTCTCAAAGTGCTGGGATTACAGGCCTGAGCCAATGTGCCCAGCCACATTTTGTTACTTTTTTTTTTTTCTCAGTCCAGAGGTCTTATATATATATATGCATGAATTAATAGGGAAGAGGTTCCAGCAGCTCAGGCTTCTTCCCACTGGTTCTCACCCAGTGTCTTCTCTGGGTGAAGCTGGCTGGTGCTTTAGTTGAATCTAGGTACCTTTCTCTTTGGCTTCCTTCTTTTTTTGATCATTTTCCTTCACACGTTTCTGGAAGCTATCTTGGCTCGTGGAGGGTATAATGGGCTCAATGCCCACATTAATTCTCTTGGCAGGAATCTTGCCCTTGTTTGTTTACAGCAATGCCAACAGAATGCTAAGAACGTTGTAGACTCTTCCAGTTTTGCCACGGTAGCACTTGTGGGGCATTCCTTTTTGAACAGTGACCATTCCCTTGATGTCTACAGTATCACCTTTCTTATAGACTTGTTCCCAGAACCAAGCCGGTTCCGACTGCGTTTTCTCAAGGAAGACTAGGAAGGAAGGGAATTTATTGCTGTAACCAGATACAGGGAGAAGGCCTGAGATAATTCCACCAGACCAACTCAAAGTGCTATGATTTCCTTTTTTCTTTTTTTTTCTTTTTTTTTAGAGATGGAGTCTTGCTCTATTGCCAGGCCGGAGTGTAGTGGCACGATCTTGACTCACTGCAACCTCCGCCTCCTGGGTTCAAGCGATTCTCCTGCCTCAGCTTACCAAGTAGCTGGGACTACAGGTACCCACCACTATGCTCACCTAATTTTTTTTGTATTTTTAGTAGAGATGGGGTCTCACCATGTTGGCCAGGATGGTCTCGTTCTCTTGACCTCGTGATTTATCCGCCTTTGCCTCCCAAAGTGCTGGGATTACAAGCATGAGCCACTGCACCTGGCCTATAATTTTCTTAGTGCTTATGTAGGATGAGGTTATGAACCTAAGTGCAGTATAGCATTCGCCTAAGTCTATCGGTAACTAGTTCTGTTTCAACTAGAAAGTCAGAAGCAAAAAATGCTTGCTAGGTCCGATTAAGCTGTGAGGGTCCCAGTACTGTACCTTCAAGGCCTTTCTACTGTGGTATACTGGAGTGATTATTTCTATCTTATCTCCTTTACAGCTTGGTTGGAAGAGCTGCCTTAGGCTCTCCAATGAATCTTTTCAAACAGCTGCCTCTGTTATCTTGACTTGTCTCAGATTCTGTCCACTCTAGGTGGGTCCTGGCATTAGGAATGTGAGACTGTCTCTATTATTTTGGTTTGCTCCCATGCAAGGCTCCTGCTGACAATATGTTTCGTTTCTAGCTTTGATGTCTGGGCATTGATTTCCCTAGGTTTAATTATTTGCTCAATGTTACCGCAGCACAGTGGAAATCCAGTCTGTGTAACTGCAGTGCTATGCAGCCCTGTCCGTGCAACTGTCAGAGACAATTGGTCTGACACGTCACGTATTTGCATATACAAAGCTAAAGGAACAACTCAATGTTTTCGAAGAGGCCTAGAGAACATCTATTGGGTGCCTCTCCTCTTTCCATTTGTGCTCATTATTTTGGCAAATTACTGGAAGATGGCAGTTCCACCCAAAAGGCCATTTTATTACTTTCAAAATATGTGTTCGTTCTTCTTTTTCTTTACTTTCTTTCGTTTTCTTTCTTTCTCTCTCTCTTTCTCTCTTTCTTTCTCTAGCTCTTCTTTCTTTTCTTTTCTTTTTTTTTTTTTTTTGCTTCAAAAAGCTTTATTTCCATTTGGTCCAAGGCTTGTTAGGCTAGTTAGAAAGCTGCCTAATGGCTGCAGGGAGAGGCTTAGGCAGAAGCCGTGTTACTTTAAAAGGGCCCATTCAGAAGTCTCTGGGCTCAACAGACTCTTAGTTCTTCTTGAGAGTGAGCCTTTCGAAGAGATACTCACCCAGCCCAGCCTGCGGCCCGGCCAGCCTGGGAGGTCGGTCAGTTGTTCACCCATCTTCTTGGTGAGTTTCACTTCCTCATCTAGGAAGTGACGCTCCGGAAGGTCACAGGGATGGGGGTCCGTGCGGGCAGAACCCAGGGCATGAAGATGCAAAAGGGCCTGGTTCAGATTTTCTTCAGGGCCATGGCGGCTTCCATGGCGTCCAGGGTTTTACCCCACTCATCTTGAGCTGGCTTCTTGATGTCCTGGAAGAGAGCGCGGCCGCCACGCTGGTTTTGCGTCTTCAGGAGACGCTCACAGCCCTCGCGCTTCTCCTCGGCCAATGAAGAAGGGGCTCGTGCCTTCCAGAGCCACATCACGGCGGTCGAAATAGAAGCCCAGAGAGAAATGGGTGTAGGAGGCCTGCAGGCACACATGGACCAGGCGGTTGACTGCTGCCTCCACCGCGGCGGAATAATTCTGACGAATCTGGGAGCTCATGGTTGGTCGGCAAGAAGGAGCTAACACAACAACGGTGTTGGCAGGTGCCAGAAGCAGGAGACGGCCGAGAAGATGGTCTCTGGTCCCGGAGGTTCCAAGTGGAGAGGAAATGGGAGGGCGGTAGGAGGCTGGAGGAAAGAGGCCCCGGATCTGTTCCGTCCAAACACTGTTCGAGCAGGAGACAGATCCACAGGACCGCTGAACTGCCATTGTTTTCATTTTTATACATTTCCAAAATAATGTTTCTAAAAAATAACTGAACTTTAGTGCTCCCAGCCTCATTGTTTTCCTTTCCCAAAGTTTCCTTCAGTAGAAATATGAACAAGTTCACCTAAATTAGTCATTGAAGCTCTCCAACTTCCTTTTTCTTTTCATTATGAATGTCAAGTCTGTGCCAATCATTGTGTGCTGTGACAGTGACCACAACATACTCTATGCCCTTAAGAAACTCATCCCCGAGGAAGTGGCCAAAGCAGTCAGGGGCGCAGACACAGAGTGACATGTGTTTTAATAGAGGAAGTTCAGCAGGCCATGTCTCATTGGTGTCAGGGAAGGCTTGCTGGAGGAAGGCACTTCTAAGCTGGGACCTGAGTGAGGAGTTAGCCAGATAAAGCTGGAAAGAGGGTAAGAAAGAGTTCCCGGCAGAGAAAGTGGCTTCCACAAAAACTAGTGAGAGAAACCATTGTATATACTATGTTGCGTATTCAGGTAGTTTAGGAGGAGTGAATCCCAAGGCAAACTCATCAGTGTGAACAAAGAAAAGTAGCTCAGAGCAGCCTGAGCTTTGTGAGGTCTGCAAAAAAAACTCTTAGAGATGTGAGTGTGGGAGACAGGGTCTTGCTTTGTTTCCCAGGCTGGAGCTCAGTAGTGTAATCAAGGCTCACTGCAGCCTTGACCTCCCAGGCACAAGTGATCCTTCGACTTCACCCTCCCAAGTACTTGGGACCTCAGGTGTGTGCCACCATGCCTGGATAATTTTTTTGTTTGTTTTGTAGAGACAGGGTCCCAGTGTGTTGTCGAGATTTGTCTCAAACTCCTGGGCTCAAGTGAACTTCCTGTCTCAGCCTCCAAGTGTGTTCAGATTACAGGTATGAATAAACGTGCCTGGACTATCCACACATTTCTATATGAATTTCCTTTTAGGAGAGTAAGGGATTAGTGGGATGATGAAAATTATGTGTTATATTAGGTTTTGCCTAATGGGTGAGAACCACTGGTGTAGACCATGCTGAAGACAAGCAGGAGCCCCTGAAAACGTTCAAGCAAGGGAGTGACATGGTCAGACCTGCATTTTGGGAAGATCACTCTGGCTGTCATGTGGAGAACAAATTGTAAGGAGCCAACCAAGGTAGCATAAAGACCAGCTGGATGGCTGTTACAGTAATCCAGGTAAGAAATGATGGTGGCCTGAAGTAAGGTGTCAGTAATAGAAATAAAGAACATAATGGTTTTTCTCCCTAGACTATCTAAAGAGTTAGCTTTACTTTTCCCAGAAGAATATGCTGTTAAGACCAAATTAATGATAATGTTTCAGACATCGTGAAAGATAAAAGGGAAATACAGTTTTGTGTTGCATAATGACATTTTGATCAATGATGGACCAAATATGAAAGTGGTTCCATAAGACTATACTAGTAGTGTTACAGCGTTTTTAGAATTTGTCTGGCATGCTTTCCAGTTTTTGCTGGCAAGACCAAAATAAAAGATTTCCAGCACTTTGGGAGACCAAGATGGGCAGATCACTTGATGTTAGGAGTTCAAGACCAGCATGGCCAACATGGTGAAACCCCATCTCTACTAAAAATACAAAAATTAGCCAGGCATGGTGGTGGGCACCTGTAATCCCAGCTACTCAGGAGGCTGAGGCAGGAGAACTGCTTGAACCTAGAAAGTGAGGTTGCAGTGAGCCGGGATCACGCCACTGCATTCTGGCTTGGGCAACAGAGTGAGACTCCATCTCAAAAAAATAAATAAATAAAAGACTATTAATATTGCATTTTTATTGTACCTTTTCTATATTTAGGTATGTCTAGATACATGAATACTTACCACTGTGTTACAATTGCCTACAGTATTTAGTGTGGTAACGTGCTGTACAGGTTTGTAACCAAGGAGCGATGAGCTCTACCATATCACCTGGGTGTGTAGTAGGAAATACCATGTAATTTGTGTAAGTGCAGTCTAAGATGTTTGCGCTACGATGAAATTGCTCAGCAATGCATTTCTCAGAACATATTCTCAATGTTAAGTGACACATGATAGTGTGTTTACAGGGATATTTCCCATATTTCTCAAATCATATCAGTAGTGTAATGGTTAAGAGCCTAGACTCTGGTTACGAGGTTTGAGTCCTCACATTATGACATTTAAGAGCTCCAGTCTTGAGCAAATCACTTAATTTCTCTGGGCCCCAGTTTCTTTTTCATCAAAATGGGGATTTCAACTGTTGCTACTATGTTGTAATTTCATGAGGATAGATATTCACTTTATCTGCTTTTTATACCAGCCCTGACGCTAGCTAGAGACAATTTCAAAAGCAAATTGTTCCGTTATCTTTTGAGTATGGGTGTTGAATTTATACTCAACCATCTACATGATCACAGTTTGACCCATTTGTGACAAATTTCAAACAATTCTAAGATTAGAATGGCTGCCTATATTTTGAGGTTATAGAAGAGAGTGAACTTATCTGTTGGCACCAGGCTTTAACCCACTGGTACATGTTTTCTTTTTATAATTTGTTAACATTTTGGGGGATGATGGAGAAGTACCTTCTAAGGACTTGATAATGAGGAAATAAGATTGCCCTCTGAGAATAAACTATCAGATCAGAGCAGAAAAATATTAAATTTTCTGAAGGAGACAGACTGACCCTTAGGCCAGGTAAAATGTCAATAATAGGATTGAATATATATTAATATATCTAAAAATATCAATCAAAAAAGGATTAATTGGCCTGGGTAAACATATAGACAAAACTGGCAGTATCTCTCCAAGCTCAGAGTAGGGGAAATAAAGTCTTTCTTTCTGTCTTTTTTTTTTTTTTTTTTTTTTTGAGGCAGGGTCTTTCTCTGTCACCCAGGCTAGAGTGCAGTGGCATGATCTTGGCACACTGCAGCCTCCACCTCCCGGGTTCAAGAGATTCTCCTGCCTCAGCCCCCTCAAGTAGCTGGGATTACAGGAGCACACCACCACAGCTGGGTAATTTTTGTATTTTTAGTACAGACGGGGTTTCGCCATGTTGGACAGGCTGGTCTTGAGCTCTTGACTCAGGTGATCTGCCCACCTTGGCCTTCCAAAGTACTGGGATTACAGGTGTGAGCCACTGTGCCCTGCCCAAAGTCCCTTTTGCTATGTGAAATAACACTCACAGGTTCTGTGGGCATTTTTGGGAGCCTTATTCAGTGTGTGACAGGGTCTTTTAGCCCATTTCCATATATTTGATTATCTTTATTCTTAATACCGAGCAGGATTCAAATTATGATTTGACTTCCCATGTAGGCTATCTACAGGGAGAAAATGCACAGAGCATTCACATCTTGAAGTTTCTGTCCCCATGACAGAGATTTCTCTAAGTTAAGTTAGTAAAGTGTCTTCTGATGGTGAATTGGCTTCTCTTTGCCTTGACTTCAAAGAGAAAATGCACTAATTAGCAAGTGAGAAAATTCTGGTCTGAGGGAAAGTTTAATTTCTCATTGTAAATGAATAAAGTGGCATTTGGATGTCTACCTCCCATCTCTCAGGGCCTGCACCCAGGACATTGGCAGGACTGTTTCTAGGTCATTTCCTGAAAACTGGACATCTAGTTGTGGTGCCCTGATACCTCGTGCATGACACCTGCAGTCTTCCCTGGATGATGCCTTGACCACTTCACCGTCAGGTCCCTCTCCTCTGATTTCTAGATCACTCACTTAAGAGGACTTAGTCAAAGTTGTGTAAAGTAATGTTCTTCCTAATTAATATATGTGTATATAATTTTACATTGAGCTTCTGGTCAAAAGACCTAACTAACATTTTTTTAATGTAGAGAAAAAGTCCTTTAGAAAATATTTCAGTGGACATTAGAGTTTTGTTTTGTTTTGTTTTTTGAGATGGGATCTCCCTCTGTCACCAGGTTGGAGTGCAGGGGCACAATCTTGGCTCACTACAATCTCTACCTCCCAGGTTCAAGTGATCCTCTGGCCTCAGCCTCCCAAATACCTGGGATCACAGGCGCCTATCACACACCTATCTAATTTTTTGTATTTTTGGAAGAGACGGGGTTTCACCATGTTGCCCAGGCTGGTCTCAAACTCCTGTTCTCAAGTAATCCACCTGCCTCAGCCTCCCAAATTGCTGGGATTACAGGCATGAGCCACTGCACCAAGTTTGTTTTATTTTTTTTGAGACAGACTCTTGCCCCGTGACCCAGGCTGAGGTGCAGTGGCACCATCATGGCCCACTACAGCCTCAACCTCCTAGGCTCCAGTGAGCCAACCACCTCTGCCTCCTGAGCAGTTAGGACTACAGGTGTGAACCATTATGCCCAGTTAATTTTTTTTTTTCTTTTTTTTTTTCCCCCATTTATTTATTTTATTGCATTTTAGGTTTTGGGGTACATGTGAAGAACATGCAAAATTGTTGCATAGGAACACACGTGGCAGTGTGATTTGCTGCCTTCCTCCCCATCACCTACATCTGGCATTTCTCCCCTTGCTATCTCTCCCCAGCTTCCCCCCCCCCCCCCGTCCCTCCCCTATTTCCCCCCAACTGACCCCAGTGTGTAGTGCTCCCCTCCCTGTGTCCATGTGTTCTCACTGTTTAACACCCGCCTATGAGTGAGAACATGCGGTGTTTGATCTTCTGCTCTTCTGTCAGTTTGCTGAGAATGATGGTTTCCAGGTTCATCCATGTCCCTACAAAGGACCCAAACTCATCGTTTTTGATGGCTGCATAATATTCCATGGTATATATGTGCCACATTTTCCCTATCCAGTCTATCATCGATGGGCATTTGGGTTGGTTCCAGGTCTTTGCTATTGTAAACAGTGCTGCAATGAACATTCGTGTACACGTGTCCTTATAGTACAACGATTTGTAATCCTTTGGATATATAATTTTTAAATTTTTTGTAGTGATGAGGTCTCACAATGTTGCCCAGGCTAGCTTGAACTCCTGGTCTCAAGTCCTCTCAAAGTGCTGGGATTACAGGC